TATCTGCAGTAAAAGTACCCTTACGGGAGCCATTGGGTGTTGAGCTTTTCGAAAAGTGTATTGTTTCTATACAGAAATGCAAACAGATAATACAGTCAAGTCTTCTTTTTTTTCCTTCCCAAAACAATATTTCTGTTTTAACTATCGTATGTATCATGTTTAAAATGAATCTACTGTTTAAAGCGTGCCTTTAGTGTGACTCAATGAATAATGCAGGGCTTGCTCCAAACTCTGAAGTCACCAAAGGCCTGAGAAAAAATATTCAACAATGTCATTAGTTAGAAACTGAGTGAAAAATTGCAGTATACCAGGCTTTTGAGTGGAACCAGAATTACTTGTCTTGTGGTTACTCTTGTGATACAGGTTTCATTTTCTTCAATTAAACCTGGCTTTATAAGTGCAGTAATAATAGCATAACTATTTAGTTATATGATGGCAGGTGAAGGCATTGATTTAATCACAAATGTGAATTTGATGTTTAAGCCTTCTGGCATAAATTCAGACTGCAAAAGAAAGGTGGCATCACATGGAGGGAGGAACCCCCAAGGTGTATGGGAAGATCTGAAGTGTTGGATTGGAAACATTTGCACACAGATGAATACAATCACAGTAAAATAAATGGCAAATGTGAAAAACACTTAAAAATCCATAGCATAGGTGTCTATAAAAGGTGATGTCTATATCTGTAGACTTCTGTGTCATAGATGACTGTAACAGCAGCCAGGACAGAGATGGTAGTAGGAGGATCTTCTTCTTTGATGCCTTAGTTGTCTTTGAAAGGGACCTGAAGCCCAGATACCTGAAGAGCTGAAGGAAAGAGAGGTGCCAGCCTCTTTGCCTGTGTAAATCAGCGTCTATTCCTGGGCTACTGTGGATTGCTTCAAGTGAGGATATGTCATGGCAGAAGTTAAAGCTGGATTGAAGGTCCTGGGATGGTGGCTTGGTTTTTGCCAAGGTTGAAGTGAGCTAGTTGTCTGTTGGAGTTTTTTTGATGAGAAATGGAAAACTACACTGGCTGTGAGGCTAAGTGTGAGATGGGGAGCATTAGCTGTTGTTTCTGCCAGAATGAAAAATACGAAGGCAAAAGTAACTGAGCTGGACCATGAGATGTAGAAACTGGATTATTTAGTTTATGTTGGTGCAGTAGTCATTTAACCTGATAACATTTGTTTCTCTTAAAATATAATTATCATTTTATTCCACTAAGCATCATTGTATGTTAGGCATTAGTGGGACACAGCACAGTATGTTGTAAATACTGGGTTTGGTGCCTAGATGGCTAATTCAGTGCTAATGTCATTATCAAAGATTGAAGAGGAAGAATGTCCTAAAAGGTCTATTCCTTATGAAATCGTCTCCTGTAGTTATTCAGATGTGACTAATGGTGCCTCTTCTGCAGAAACTTTAATTTATCTATTTGGTATGTCCCCGTATTCTTCTCAAGAAATGTTAGAAACAGAACAAAAAAAAGGTAGAATCAGTTTTCTGTGCTTTTATTTTCTTTCTGATTAATTTTGGTCTCAGGAAAGCAAAAATGTACATTAGCAATTTCACACCTTGTTACATCTTCTGTTTGCTTCTATCACATGCATGGCTGTTTTCACGAATGGCAAACATAAACATAAATGATGTAATATCCGTCTTTGATTTTGAGTGTCTTGCTTAGAAATTAATGCATATCTGCAGATTACTTGTGAGGCAACATGTGAACAGTTCACAGTATATATCCATCTTTTGTAGTGTCAAGGAAGGGATTTGAACAAGACTTCTGCCTGCTTACGTAAGAAACATGGGAGATTACAGCTTTATATATCTTGACTCTTACATTAATTTATTTTTTTACATGTCGTATTCTGAATGGAAGTGCTCTGTGGCTTGTTTCCTTTCTATTAAGAGGATGCTGCCCTTGCAGAAGCAGTGACCTTTGAAAAGCAAGTCTCAAGTAATCCTTTTATTTTTCTGAGATCATATAACACAGTATCCAGTTGCAGGCTTTTAAGATGGAATGATTGCAGACTTTGTCCACTTGCCTGGGTTGGATTACATTTTGTTTGACAAAGAAAACTCTAAAATACTTATACCTTCCTTCCTTCCTTCAGTTCAGAGCTCGTAATCTCTGTGCATTGAGGATGCAGGGTAGTTGCCATATCATCCCAGCACCGCTGGGATTTATTGAATTTACTTAATTGGCCTTTATCTCACGGTTACACTTTAACGCTTCTTTTGAAGGAGATTCAAAAAGGATACAGTTACTCCTTTTCTAATTTACTTTGAGAGTTGGGTTACTCATTTTCTTATCTTCAGTCCTTTTCCCAGTAGAGCAGAGCATTCTGCAGAGCCATGGTTGAACATGTTAGAGACTTGGATGGCGAGAGGTTTAAGTCCATGGAGCTGTTAACTAGCCAGACTTTTTATACAGTGCTTTTTAAAGACGATGCTCTGTTTTAGGGGAGTAGGGAGTTTGATGGGCACTTTTGGATGGCTGGTGGTGCATTTTGTGTTGTACTGTGCTGATGCATATGAAGGAGAGCTAAACTCCGCTGAACCTCCCAGGGAAAGATTTTGCAGCAGAGTTCAGGAGCATGTATCATTCTCTTGTTTTTAAAGCACTTGTGAGCCTCAGTCCTATAAACAGTTCAGGAAACCTCAATAGAGCGGATGAAAAGTCCTTTATTTGGTCAGGCGATCTTGACACTGAGAATTGCATGGGTTTTGCCTTCCTGAGAGACGTTCGGTACCAGAGAGGGCTGAGGTCTCCACTTGCTGCCCTCCTCAAGTTTGCTTTTGTTAATAAGAATTTAAAAAGGTTTAATGCCCGGCTCTGACTTTCTCCGTCTGCCACACCTCTGCTGCCAGCTCTGCAAGCTGGAGGACAGTCCCAGAGGGGCAGGGGTCCCTTTTTCTGAGTCCTTTGGTGTCTCAGTGCTGTCCATATAGTATGTGAGTGTGTCATGATAAGAAGTGATCAGTATCATCTATTTAACTAAGGTTGTAGAATCGCCTGTTATTTGGCACCGCCCCCCCCC